GCAAGTTTTATTTTCGGAGAAAGAGAACCTTGTCTCTTATCATTTCCACATACATTTTCGTATTCCTCTAAAATGTATATAAATGATCCTTTGTTGATGCGAAAATTTTTGAAGAAACTGTAAATGTATATGCATGTAAACAAAGTTATCTATGTCGTTTTTAGCTTAAATACTCACTTATAATCATCCATTTCCAATATGTCTTTTGAATTATTCCTCAAATTTCTGCGCTCGCGACGAATTTGTATACAATTTTCATCCTCATTATCGCTATCACTTAAATGTAACATGATTGTATCCATTTCAAATATTTATATAAACGAAGCAAAAGCCCAGCCAATTTAACTTTTCAAACTTGTCAAATTTACCGTCGATAATGTAGTGTTTTTTGATAAAGCAGTTTATCGACGGAATGAATGATTGAAATTTTCGATCGAAAATCTGTATCGTATCGAAATCGAATTCGTTGCGGATTCAATGATTAGGCCCAATATTAAATATATTAAATATTTACAATGTTTTCTCACCACAGTGGATTGAATATATGTGTGTGTATAAATTTAGTTAACTTAAGTATAAATAATAACTTAAGATGAAATTTACCCATTACTGGTAGTTTCATCGTGAAAAGAGCTGCTCCGAACAAGGTATTTGGACAATGTACGAAAGTTATTTGCAAAGTATATTTGCACTTTCGTTTCTAGAATGTTTCCCTTTGAAAAAATTTTCCTCTCTTACGTATATTGGCGGTGGTTTAGTGTTAGTAGTTTTGCTACTCTCACATTCAACGTTGTGAATTAAAAGCTCAAATCGGTTTTTGCTTAATGGCTCAGTTGCATTTCCTCGGTTTATTTCTTGCTTAGCGTTTGTTGAATTTTGCGAACTAAGTTAACGCTTGATAGTAATGTACCGATCCATTCCGCTCTGTATAGCCACTTTTTGAGTTGTTTCGCTTTTATTATCTTGTGTTTTGCATTTGTTACCGGAGTCAGAGCATGCACCGACCGCAACTTCTAAAACATCAGCCATAACGAGCTCTGCGGTTGGAATCCTTGACATTGAACAAGATTGGACTTTTAAATTTAGAGGGCGTTGAAAGGTGGATGATGAGTTTGACTTTACGCTTTCACTATCACTCTGAGACCTGATCGAAAAGTATGCATTGTTGCGGTGGACCAAGCGTGCGTCTTGTTCACGTTGTCTCTAGGCACGGATATCGCTTTAGCTCATAATTTTATCATTTAATTTTCTTTATATTTTTTTTTATTTTAGTATGTTTTATTTTATTTTCATATTTTTATTTTTTTATACCTTTATTTTTATTTTAAGAAACACTTACGGACAGTGTTTCTTTATGTTTAGCGTTAACAGGTAATGTTAAGTTATATGAACTGCCGTATCAACTGCTTTACCGACTGTAAGTGTAGATAATGAAATGATCCTGACCACTTACAACTCTGTCGTAGACAGATGGCTGATAACCACTTCAGACTGAAATTCACGTAAATTAACACAAATTGAGGAGCACACTCGATTGTTGACTGTACACTTCGATCGATACATTACTAAATTTAAGCAGTAATTGTAATATTCTTCTGGATGAGTCTCTAGGCCAAATAGTCAATAGTTTAGAAATTTTAATGGCAATATTACGATTCTTTTGGCGCCGCGATTTGATGATACGGGTGGATAGAGGAGGTACTCAGGATTAAAAAATGTATACACATATACCCTCCTCAGACTCAGAGTTTACGAGATATTTATGTTTAAAGTTCAAAAATTTGCAAAAACAATACCAGTTATTTCACTATGTTCAACCCACTTTTCACACATTTTTTTAATATATATTTAATTACACTGTACACATTCAAATATATAAAAAATTTACACTAATTTTGTATGTTTTAAGATAATAAATATATTTTAAAAACTATTTTGCACATTAAAACTTTCAAGAGATTTGCGTGTTTACATGTATGACAAATAGCAGTGTTGCCATAATCTGTGTCCTGAAAATATAATAAAAATTTTTTCTATTTCATATTTGACAATTCAAAAGTCTAAATANTAATTAGGATTTACAATATATATGTATGTATATATGTAAAAACATTATAATAAATAGAAAAAATGTATAGAATGCAAAGTTTTTAAGTATTTCTATCCTTTTGATTAATATAGGTTTTTTTTAAAAGCGGCCGAAGGCCTCCAAAACAGAAAGTAGTTCGATCAAAAAGAACTATGAACACCCCGGTGTTGGACCGACCAGGGTTATTTTTTTGAAGCGCGGCCGAAGGCCGCCAGTGCAGTAAGTAGTTCGACCCAAAAGAACTATGAACACCCCAGTGTTGGACCGACAAGGATTCTTTTTTTGAATCGAGGCCGAAGGCCGCCAGTGCAGAAAGTAGTTTGACCAAAAAGAACTATGAACACCCCGGTATTGGACCGACTATTTTTATAACATTTTCCATCGTTGCCAGATCGATCAAAAAAAATTTTATTTAAATTAAAACACCAAACATTTATTACGATTGCAAATTTATAGTTTATATTGGACTTTTAATATATGATGAAACTACTTCAATTTTTTTTTTTTATTTAACTTTTGACCTTTCAATGCTTAATAAGGTGAATTAAGCCTGTTAGTTCCCAATAATAAATGTTTTTAATCATTTGTAATTGAAACTTAATTATACAATGCATTAAATTGCAAAACGTTTCATGAACTATATTTAAATTTCGCATTTTATTTGATTTTCATTGTTTTAGATTTTTTATTTGCGATCTTGAACGGCGGCAACAAATCCCTCCGTTCACATACATGTTTGGTATAATTTCAATCTGGTCGTTCCGGTCATTCCAACTGACAAAGTTCGATAGGTGGGCGGTTCTCACATTTCCAGTGACCGGAGAGTTGGGCATATCTTTATCTCTGACAATAGTGTCACCCAGGAATATAGATGGCGCAACCAGGGGGCGCGAGATTCAAAAAGTCCTGTTTACTTTGGAACGCATCTTGTATAAAGAAGTATACTTTCAAATTGTCCTACGAAAAGAATGTTTTACTAATGGACATTTACAGGAAAACTCTGACTCAATAAAAATTTTTCACAGTCACCGACTAACATTCGTGCTGAGCAGTTGTGTCGTTGTTATTTCCGAGTTTCCGCTAATCATTTAGCAACCCGCGTGTGCTTCTACTTTCTTAAGCTACTCTTGCAAACATATTTGGTTTGCCGTATATAAGTGAGTTAGAAAAACTTAATCACAGAATAGTAAGTGTTCTTTGATCAA